TCGTCTGAAGAACGACAGGTGGAAACCCGGTGTTACCAACCGGACCCCCCTCGGTAACATATGTCCACTAGGTCGTCTACCAACACGCTGGGACGACACAATGAAAAGCTGTTCGGTCAGTGGTAGAAGTAAAGGGCACAACACCAAGAAGAGTGACGGAACGTCGGCATGCATCTGTGGCGCGGCCGCTGAAGAAAATAAGTGGAATAGAAGAATAATAGACTTCACAACAAGATTTTTGTGCTTTCTTTGGGGATAAATTTTAGCGGTTGCCTTAATCCTTTTATCTGATTTTGTAGCCAAAGTGCCTTTCTTTGTTATTTATGTCGATTCAAATTTTGCTTGAATCTACCCCAAGAAATCCGTCTACCGCAAGAATTACGGAAATTTTAACTCTTCAGTTTGCGAGTCTCGTCGCTTCCAAGGCCAAATTTCACGGCATGCTGCACTGCCCTCTGGTTCCACATTGCCTGGAGAGGATTTAGGCAGGACACGGCTCCATGGTATCTGAGCACCTGCAGGACAGGTTCTTCTGGTATTATTTTGTTCGTTAGAGCCACCTTGCCCTTACCAAAAGTAAAGGGCGGTGCAATACGGTATGAAATCTGGTCTTGTTGAAGTTAACATACTTCAACATACGAACGTATTATGATGTTTATGCAGTAACATAAGGAATACCAGCTTCTGAAATATCGTCCGTAATTATCTTTGAAATTAGGTTTTGGAGAAGTTATGCATTATTGAATCGTACTGTCATGTATGTAGTAGCTTAGAAGAAATGTTTCCAGTGTTCTGTCATGTGGATTGCGATTTACCTTTCCCTGGCGGGTCTGTTGAGTTGTTAACTGTTCCTTTAAATGTTCTTTTCAGCAATCTGTTTTCAGTGACGCCTTGCGGAATGGTCTCCAGATGGCTACTAAACCAAATAAAATAAACGACAAAGTCAAGCAGTTTTCAGCATTTGACGCATATTAGTAGTGATTCTTGTTTATCATCGAACCAAGTGATAGTTCATAATTTCCGTACTTAATCGCTTAAACAGCATGCTCCCTCATACCGGAAATAATATGTATTTTAAACTTGTTTACTAGGCATTCAGTGACTCTAGAGTTACTACAGCGAATTGCTTATCAACTGGCATCAGCTAATATTGTAGATGAATATTGTATGGTCCGTGCCTTTCAGTGAACGGTGAAATCCAATTCAATGATCAGGTCGTACAGTTGAAAGGGTAATCTTTCTTTTGACAGATGAAATATGATATCAGCCTGGTTACAATGCTACAACAGGTGGTTTGCCAAATCGAAAAAGAAACCATGTCTGCCTAGAAACACAGATTACTTTACCTCTGCGTCACTGCTGTTTCAACTTCATTCTAAACCGTGTGTCATACATCAACTTCATCGCTTCGTTTGTGTTCTTACGAAAGTCACTTCTGCCATGCAAGAAACTTGTTTCTTTTCTCGAGCGATGTCGCTGTCATTCACCGCAAGAAGAAACTTTTGGTCATAGCGGTCCTATCGATGAACGTTTCTCCAATTTTGTCAGGAGATTTACAATTCCTCGAAGCACATTTTTAACTTAAAACCCATCATTGACTTTTTGTAAGTAGTTCCATTTCCGCGTGTTCTAAATAGAAGCGTATAGAGTTCTTCTATCAATCAAGATTTTGTACAGGCATCGCTTGAGTGAACATACTACTCATCGTCAAACGATAATTTTCATCACCATCTTTTCAATGGTGATAGTGACGAGGACGCCTTTCTGAAAGACTAAATGGCAATGCTTTCAAAAACACTATTTTCGAAGCAGGCAGAACACGTTGGCAGAATCGGTAATAATTAACCTTCTCACATTCGTATAAAACCGAAAAATAGAAAATATTGATGGAATGCAGTGATGGAAAAATCACAGGCACCGTTCTTATTCTTCCTTTAAGAGAACCTAGTAATCATGGCGGAAGAATTCTGCTCTAGACTCCGGTTGTCTTATGCCAAAATTTGATACCTTCGACGGCATTCAAAATCGCAAACATTAGCATCGTTCATTGGTGGGAGTAAAGAATTTACCATATGTTGCGTCAGGCCAGCGTCGCTCAATTTGTAGAGCGCTGAGTTCAGAACCGATAGGTGACGAGTTCGAGCCCTGGTGAGGTTCATTCGCATTTCCTTCTTCCGACGTTGATAAATGAGTACCACTCTGTGATACACACTTTGCTTGCAAAACAGCCGCTGTCAACTCTGAATTTAAAAAAGACACTCCTGGATTACCTTGAAACAGTGCATTTTTGTTAAGAAAAAAGGTGCCGCAACTCACATCTTGTTAATGTTAGTTGACAGACCCGCATTCACCGTTCTAATGATTTTTCCACCGACAGCGCGATTCAAGTCCATGTAAACTAAACATTAAATTTTTGAAAGTTACTTTTAAAACTTGGAAAATCCGTCGAAAAAAAGTCCGGAACACCGTTGGTGCGTTCTATGACAAAAAAGCACGGCCCTTAAATGATATTTCAATCATGATCTGCCATTTCATCATGCAAATAAGACCATTTTTCGCCCAGTCTGTAATATTGGACTATAAGATAACAGCAAAGTAGTTAATCCATTACCTTCGAGCGTACGCTTCGCTTTTCATTCTTTTACTATAACTAACGATTTCCTCCAAAACTTCAGTCTTGAATCTAATAGTCTGACGGCTTACAGTAAATTGTCAGTGGCTGCATTCTACCGATCGACTTTCGATTTTTTCCTTTCGCTTCCGTCTTAATGTATGGAGTTCACAGAAAAGTTGGCAACACTATTTTCAATGCCTATATATTTGTTTCTGCATTTCAGTGAAGCCAACTTCTTATTCTAACAGACGTGCACATAAAGCTAACGCAATAGAGTATAAAAAAGTGATTAACCGTCAGACTGCACACAAATTTCTGAACTTGCTTTTGCTCCAGTAATGTTCCTGCATTGCCATCACCACAGTTGATGAAGCTTCATTCATCTTCAACGTTCCCTATTCTTTCAGAGTCCAGTAACAGCTGCTTCAAATCTTACTGACAGTTCCGGTCTTTCACTAATTTGACAAACTGCAGGGGTTGAATTTCAAGGTGCGACAATGACTCGTTCTCAAAACAGTCATGCCGTCTGCCTCTGTCCTTCTTCCATATGACTTTTCTTGAATTCCCGCTTAGATCTGTAGAAATAATCGCTCATAAATGAGTGTAATTGCAGTGCCGTGTTTCAAACTTCGCACACCAGCAATCTTTCGAAGACGCCATATTTCGTGGTTTATATCTGAGACTGCATTCTTATCGAACACCCATAAACATAGATGAAAGTAGTGTCGGTGCATCTATGGATCCCAAACCAGATATGTGCGTCTCAGCTGCTTCTTCATTACTTACGGTCACGACGAAGTTCACGATCGGTTAGTTCCACTATTCCTGTTCGCCCACGTTCTTAAGTGAACACAGATGTACATCCTGAGAACACCCTTAATCCAGAAACAAGTGTGGCCTCTGTGATTGCATCT